GGCCGCGGGCCCGTCTGCGGGACGCTGGGAGCCCGCGACCCCCAAGCCTCGGAACGGCTGCGCGGACCGCCCCAGCGCCGGCTCCAGAAGCGAGGGCAGCTTCCCGGGCGCCCACGGGGGGAGTGTGGGCCCCCCAGAGCCCTCACCATGGGCTCCGGCGGGAAGAGGGCCTTGGAAAGGCGGTAGAGGTTGCGCAGGTTGAACTGGATGCTGGTGTTGGTGACCCGGAGCTCGTGGATGTTGGTGGAGCTGTCCTGCGGGCAGATGTCGCTCTCCCCCGAGAAGGGGGACACCGTGATGGTGTTCTTCAGCTCGTACAGCGGCAGGTTGTCCGAAATGCCGCCGTCCACATAGCGCTTGGGCAGGACACACAGACAGCGTCACACGCAAGGGGCCTGCAGGGCACTGGCGCCCCGCTGCAGAGGGCATCCCCCAGGGGCTATCTCGCTGGGGCCTTTCACCCACTAGACTGGCCACGGGCCAGCCTGGGCCCCGGAGCCGGGCGGGGGTGGGGAGGGACAGCCACAGGAAGTGTGTGTCTCTTCAGTGGCCTGCCTCTTGAGCAACTCAGGAAGTGGGGCAACCGGCGGTGGCAGAGATCAGGGCTGCGGGGAACAGGCATCCTCCCCTGTCCCCCATCCCACAGCCAGACAGGAGCTGACTCTTGTCACCCGAGGAAAGGTGCCAGGGTTGGGGATACTCACCACGCCCTGGAGGGAGGGCGGGATTAGGCCACAGTACACCGGGATGAAGGTGCTGCAGACATTGGCCTTCAGGACAAAGATGGCATGAAAGGGTGAGCAGCAGCCTTGGGGCACAGGTGCCCCCCCCAGGCAGCCCCACCAGCCCACCTGGATGAGCTCGTCCTTGGAGTTGAAGTGGGAGATGATGACGTTCTCACCGTCCGACACGCGGGTCAGGGAGATGCCCAGGCGCCCGCTGGCACGCTCATGGCTGTCCGCAGGCAGGGTTTTCAGCAAGCAGCCGCGGATGGTCTTTACCAGGTTGAAGGAGGGGTGCAGGGGGCCCAGGAACCGCTTCCGGGCCTCTTTAGACACCTCGATGATGTTGGCACCAGCCTCACCTGGGCAGCAGGGCCGAGGTCAGGGCTTAGCAGCCCGCCTTCCCTCCGTCGCCCCCAGGGTCCCAGGGTGCACAGGCATGTGGCCTCCCCACCAGCCCTGCAGGGCTCCCCGTGCCCGTCATGGGGCCTGGCCCACAACTGGGACTTTGGCCACTGTTCCTGGAATGGCAGACAGCAAGGGCTGGCCAGCTGGGACCGGGACCTGCCCTCTGCCCAGTATGGTATTTCCCAACTGCCTGTCCCATGAGTCACCAGGCCTGGCGTGGCACCCAGCCCAGGAGAGGGGCGCCAGCAGGGGCTCAACTCTGGCCGGCCTCAGCCTTCACCCACTTGGCCAGATGCGGGTGGGGGGCTGGCCCGCGA